AGCACACATTCTATAAGCCAGGTTTTTTTAAACCAAATGACAAGAGTTTCGTTACCACTGTTCCTACTACAAGAAGTGAGGAAAGTATTCAGCTAAGAGGAACGAGGTTCATTCCCTAATCATAGATATAACTCCCCCTACATACCGGAGAAAGATTAATATTGATTTCTTGTCAATCATCTCCCCAGTACTATGTAAACATTACTGTATTATCACCATTTTACAGATGAGATATGTCAGGAGCACATAAGGCCCAAATGTCTGAAGTGTCTGTTAAATTCAGACGCCCCTATTATTAGTTACCCGTACCGAAACATGCAGCCCTTGGCTCTCTAAGCTGTTAAGGACCAATAGATTTTACTGGCCTTACTTTAAATGATAGGAACCTATTGACGCTTAGCTAAGTCTTGGACATCCCAGCTTCAGCATGCCTGTATTCTCAGAATTTGTGGTCTGAACAAATTAGTTGTAGAGAAAGGAAAGAAAAACAAGAACAAAAGCTTGCAGTCCCAATTTAGTTTGCTAAATCAACAAGTGAACAGTTTTTTTAATCACTGATAATCCTGACAAGTCAGTCTGAAATCTTTAAGTCATACTATATAACTATAATTCAAAGAAAGTTATCGTAGGTATTTCACAGTGCAACTGAGATTGACATCTCAAGATATAAACTCTACCGTCAATCTTAATTCATGATACAAGAGCTAGAGCAATTTTCAAGGGCTACTGCATTCACTTCACTCAGCCTGGAATAGCAAGAGTTAAAAAAATAATGGCAGTGGATTTTTGCTACTCCATCAAGCAGATCAGGGATGAATTAATGGAAAGAACATATCTGATGAATAACAAAATATCACTGACACAGTTACTTTTCCAATAATAATTGTGTTTTAAGTTCCCCATGAAACAAATTTTATTATTTAATTTGAAACAGCTAAATTCAACTCTAGATCAGTTACATATAAATCAGTTTGCTAACTACACTTACAGTGTACTTTTCTGTATTAGTGACAAAGAAAACAAGATTGTCTTGGTGTTCTGTTCCTCTAAATTACTAATGATTAAACGCATTGATTGGTTGAAAACCATTTTTTTTCCCTAAAAAGCTGAATTGAATAAAAATTATGGTTTTCAGGCATTCTGTGTTTGAAGACATACTGGTTTAAAGCAATCTGTGCTCAGGGAGAATAAACTGGCAACAGAAATGGAAAAGTTGGAAAAAGTGGATAAAAACTGGTATTTCATAAATAAGCATGTCCCTTTCGTACTTCCAGAGGCGCCATCTTACGATCAGAATTAAACCCAGGACCCGGAGCACCTGCAGTCATTAAAGGCCAGCTGATGTCCTTCGCAAGACTTGCTGTCTGTATAATTTTGGATTGTCACCAGCCAATCGCCTTCCAAAATCTCGTTCTGGCCAATAACAGTCTGGATAATTCAACTGTCTCTGTTCCCTTTTTCTCAGCCTCTTGGCTAAGATCGAGTGTGTTTATTTAACCAATATTAAACCTACTATTTTATAGAAAATATCTCCTTTACTGCCAATCTAGCCTTTCTATTTATTTCATCCAAATGGCATAATCAACAAACCTTCTGAGACACTTCTCGCTCCCTTGCTTTATCTTGTATAACTTTCAGTACATAGAACCTCCATTTAGTCCTGGCGCACTATAACTCCACATTATCACTTCACAAACCCTCGAGAAAGAGACTCATTAAAATCATAACGTTTCCCTCCCCGTAGACTGAGTCTGGTTTCCCTTTCTAGCCATAACAGCTCTATTCCACTTCTCACGTTCTTTATGAGAATATTGTAAAGGAGTATTTGTGCAGGAATTAGCTGTGGAAGGGAGTAAAGTGATATTGGTGGACATGCCATTACAGGGTCCCAACTCCCTGCCTGGATTGCTCCTAAGGAATCCAGGGCTAGAGTGAACGTGGTAGAGCATCTGTACGGCTGCTCTTTGTCGTGACAGAAGGAAATCATCTCATTTTTATACTACCCCTTAGGGAATACCATTGCATAACTCACTGTTTGGCCTATATTTCCCCGTTCTTGGCTCCATGCTGCTAACAGAAATACCACTGATTCACTGCAGTTTCTGACTGAGTGGAGAACTGAGCACTAGAGACAGGGACATGGGACCTGTCATCTCAGGAATGGCTAGTTGTTCACTACCATATCAGATGCACTGTATTCCATACAAGCTTCTCTCTAGACCTGGGGCATAAAGTGGGCTTGGCCTGCCATTCAATAACAGTTCCATCCCATTTTGGCAGGTTTCGTGCAGCTTTTCCTGTGCTACTACATGTGGTGCTTATGTCATCCACTCTGCAGAATTCAGAGCAGCAGCACGTAAGTGATCAACTGCATGAGAAATTAATAGAACAGAGAAGTTTCTAAATACACATGTTCCTTTAGACACCACATCTTTCTCAGATGTATCTCTCCATTCAACAAGAAATGTTGCCTCTGACACATTTTGCATTGTTTACTACCCTTACAAATGATCTCCCTCTGCTTTTTTTTAAATTAAGGTCTTTCCAAAAAGAACATGTAATGCCCCTCATTAATACGTGCAGCTCCCATTTTACAGCTGTGAAAACACAGGTAGAGACGGGTTAAAGCTCGATCCCGACAGAGGAAATGACTGAATCAGGAGTTTTGAGTAACGGTGCTGTACTCTGACTCTGGTTCAGTACTCTAGAAATGGCTCAAGAAATATGCAACCTTATTTTTCAAATTCCTTCAAGTTCCTTTGGTTGATGAACAACTCGATTTCCACATGGCCCAACTTATTTAAAACATTTTTTAGAAGGGGAAATTAAACTCTGTCTGAAGCAAAACGTAACCGGGCTGTGACCCAAAACCTCAATTCGTATTTATGAGCAAATAAAATGCAAACTCTGCACAGACAAAAAGAGTTAACTCAAACGCAACCAGCCTACACCACGACACCTCCAAAACGCAAACCCTGCGGGGTGGCATAAACATCGTCCGGCTCCTCTCACTCTTCCACCTGCTCCAGCCAGGCGTTCGCCTCCCAGGTGGACTTTCCCGGCCTGATCGCTCACCCCGTGACACACAGCCACCGCACCTCCTCGCGCGGCTGCAGCCCCCGCA